AGTAATAGTAGTAGTAGTAGTAGTAATAGTCGGATGTGAGCGCAGAACCTGACAGAGACACTATGACCTGGAGTTCACACACACGAGTAAAAACAAATGAGAGGAACAGAAGGAGGAGTGGAGGAAAAGAGAAATGGAGAGGAGAGAGGAGAGAAGAGAAGAGAGAACAGAGAAGAGAGAAGAGAGGAGAGAAGGGAGAGGAGAGAGGAGAGAAGAGAAGAAAGAAGAGAGAAGAGAGGAGAGAAAAGAGAGGAGAGAGGAGAGAAGAGAAGAGAGAAGAGAGAGAAGAAGGAGGAGAGAAAAGAGAGGAGAGGAGAGAGAAGAGAAGAGAGAAGCAAGAGAGAAGAAGGAGGAGAGAAAAGAGAGGAGAGGAGAGAGAAGAGAAGAGAGAAGAGAGAGAAGAAGGAGGAGAGAAAAGAGAGGAGAGGAGAGAGAAGAGAAGAGAGAAGAGAGAGAAGAAGGAGGAGAGAAAAGAGAGGAGAGGAGAGAGGAGAGAAGAGAACAGAGAACAGAGAAGAGAGAAGAGAGGAGAGAAGGGAGAGGAGAGAGGAGAGAGGAGAGAAGGGAGAGAGAGAAGAAGGAGGAGAGAAAAGAGAGGAGAGGAGAGAGGAGAGAATCGAGAGGAGAGAGGAGAGAAGGGAGAGGAGAGAGAAGGGAGGAGTGAAGAGAGAGAAGAAAGAGAGAGGAGAGAAAAGAGAGGAGAGAGGAGAAGAGACAGCAAAAAGATAGAGAGAAGAGAGAGAGGAAAGAGGGCAGAGAGAGAGGACAGAAAGAGGAGAAAGGAGAAAGAGAAGAATGAGGGCAGAGAGGAGAGAAAGATCAGAGAGAGGTGAAAGGGCAGAGAGAGGAGAGAGAAGAGAAGAGAGAGAGTCGTTCAGTATCAATACGTGCTCAAATGAGTATCTAGTTTGAATATTAGTTTCAGTATCGATTCTGAACGTGGTCGCTCGTATGTCGTGGCTTCACTTCCTGTTTGTTTGAATCTAAAATCAAAAAGTGATTGTTCACATGATGTGGAGGTGCTGCTCCTCGTCTCCCGCGGCAACACAAATCAAAACGATCAATAAAAGTCATCTCATCCCAGAGACGAGGCACCGAGGCAGAGGAGGGACTTTTACTGAGCTCCGGGGAATTCAACCCCCAACCTCTCACACACACACACACACACGCACGCACGCACACACACACACACACACACACACACACACACACACACACACACACAGAGAGAGAGAGAACACACACACACACACACACACAGAGAAACACACACACACACACACACACACACACACACACACACACACACACACACAGAGAAACACACACACAACACACACACACACACACACACACACACACACACACACACACACACACACACACACAGAGAAACACACACACACACACAACACACTCAAACACACACACACAGAGAAACACACACAAACACACACAGAAACACACACACACACACACACACACACAAACACACACAGAAACACACACACACACACACACACAAACACACACACACACAGAGAAACACACACACACACACACACAACACACACACACAGAGAAACACACACACACACACACACACACAGAGAAACACACACACACACACACAAACACACACACACAGAGAAACACACACACACACACACACACACACACACACACACACACACACAGAGAAACACACACACAAACACACACACACAGAGAAACACACACACAAACACACACACACACACAGAAACACACACACACAGAAACACACACACACACAGAGAAACACACACAGAGAAACACACACACACAGAAACACACACACACACACACACAGAAACACACACACACACACAGAAACACTCACACACACACACACAGAAACACTCACACACACGCAGAAACACTCACACACACGCAGAAACACTCACACACACACAGAAACACACACACACACACACACAGAAACACACACACACACAGAGAAACACTCACACACACACAGAAACACTCACACACACACACACACACACACACACAGAGAAACACTCACACACACACACAGAAACACACACACACACACACACACACAGATGCCCCGCACTCTGCTCTGGTCTCACCTTCCTCATCTTCATCACCCCCTACTAAGAACTCAAGTACCTTTGTTAGACTGAACCAGGACTGACCCAGGTCTAAACCAGGTCTAAACCAGGTCTAAACCAGGTCTAAACCAGGTCTAAACCAGGACTAAACCAGGTCTAAACCAGGTCTAAACAGGACTAAACCAGTCTAAACCAGTCTAAAACCAGGTCTAAACCACTAAACCAGGTCTAAACCAGGTCTAAACCAGGACTAAACCAGGTCTAAACCAGGTCTAAACCAGGACTAAACCAGGTCTAAACCAGGTCTAAACCAGGTCTAAACCAGGACTAAACCAGAACTAAACCAGGACTAAACCAGGATTAAACCAGGACTAAACCACGACTAAACCAGGTCTAAACCAGGTCTAAACCAGGATTAAACCAGGACTAAACCAGGTCTAAACCAGGACTAAACCAGGATTTAACCAGGACTAAACCAGGACTAAACCAGGTCTAAACCAGGTCTAAACCAGGTCTAAACCAGGATTAAACCAGGACTAAACCAGGACTAAACCAGGACTAAACCAGGATTAAACCAGGACTAAACCAAGACTAAACCAGGACTAAACCAGGATTAAACCAGGACTAAACCAGAACTAAACCAGGACTAAACCAGGATTAAACCAGGACTAAACCAGGACTAAACCAGGATTAAACCAGAATTAAACCAGGATTAAACCAGGACTAAACCAGGACTAAACCAGGATTAAACCAGAATTAAACCAGGATTAAACCAGGACTAAACCAGGACTAAACCAGGATTAAACCAGAATTAAACCGGGATTAAACCAGGACTAAACCAGGACTAAACCAGGACTAAGCCAGGTCTGGAGCAGGTCTACAGCAGGTCTGGAGCAGGTCTGGAGTGTGTTGTGGAGTGGGTGAATGGAGCCGTTGTTGTACAAAAGGATTTCCGCTGGTATCACTTTAAACACACCTGATCCACAAGTGAAGTGAAGAATAGAGCTTATTGTAACGGAGGAGAGGAAAGAAAGAGACAGAGAAAGAGAGAGAGACGCCAAGGACAAAATGAAGAGTGGACGATTTCATTGTGTTAAAATACAAAGTGGAGTCAGCAAAGAAAAAGCTGAGTGAGGAGAAGAGGAGAGAGACGGGGAGAGGGGGAGAGGAGAGAGAAGAAGAGAAGAGAAGGAGAGAGAAGAGAGAAGAGGAGGAGAACGCAACTAGGACTAAATACCTATACTAAACTAGGTCCAAACCAGGACTAAATCAAGTCTAAACCAGGACTAAATCAGGTCTAATACAGGACTAAACCAGGATTAAACCAGGACTAAACCAGGACTTAACCAGGACTAAACCAGGATTAAACCAGGACTAAACCAGGACTTAACCAGGACTAAACCAGGATTAAACCAGGACTAAACTAGGACTAAACCAGGACTAAACCAGGACTGAACCAGGACTAAACCAGAACTAAACCAGGATTAAACCAGGATTAAACTAGGACTAAACCAGGACTAAACCAGGACTGAACCAGGACTGAACCAGGACTAAACCAGAACTAAACCAGGATTAAACCAGGATTAAACTAGGACTGAACCAGGACTAAACCAGAACTAAACCAGGATTAAACCAGGATTAAACTAGGACTAAACCAGGTCTAAACCAGGACTAAACCAGGACTGAACCAGGACTAAACCAGGTCTAAACCAGGACTTAACCAGGACTAAACCAGGATTAAACCAGGACTAAACCAGGACTAAACCAGGACTGAACCAGGACTGAACCAGGACTAAACCAGAACTAAACCAGGATTAAACCAGGATTAAACTAGGACTAAACCAGGACTAAACCAGGACTGAACCAGGACTAAACCAGAACTAAACCAGGATTAAACCAGGATTAAACCAGGTCTAAACCAGGTCTAAACCAGGACTAAACCAGGACTGAACCAGGACTAAACCAGGTCTAAACCAGAACTAAACCAGGATTAAACCAGGATTAAACTAGGACTAAACCATGATTACACCAGGTCTAAACCAGGACTAAACCAGGACAAAACCAGGACTGAACCAGGACTAAATTAGGTCTAAATCAGGACTAAACTGGAACTAAATTGGGTCTAAACCAGGTCTAAACTAGGACTAAACCAGGACTACATAAGGGCTAAACCAGGACTAAACAAGGACTAAACAAGGACTAAACAAGGACTAAACCAGGACTAAAGCAGGACTAAATCAGGTCTAAACCAGGACTAAACCAGGACTAAACAAGAACTAAACAAGGACTAAACAAGGATTAAACCAGGACTAAAGCAGGACTACATCAGGTCTAAACCAGGACTAAACCAGGACTAAACAAGGACTAAACAAGGACTAAACCAGGACTAAACCAGGACTAAACCAGGACTACATAAGGGCTAAACCAGGACTACATCAGGTCTAAACCAGGACTAAACCAGGACTAAATCAGGACTAAACTGGAACTAAACCAGGACTGAACCGGGACCAAATCAGGTCTAAACCAGTTGTAATCCAAGAGAGGAGCAAAGGGGGCGGGCGGGGCCGTGGCTGTCACTCATTTTGATTGGCGGCTGATTCTGCAGTTTCTGGGAGGCCTGACGGGTGCTCTGTCCACGATCGACCCAGGACTAAACCAGGACTAAACCAGGACTAAACCAGGACTAAACTAAGACTAAACCAGGGCTAAACCAGGACTAAACCAGGACTAAACCAGGACTAAACCAAGACTCTAACCAGTTCTAAACCGAGACTAAACCATGCCTGAACGTGTACTTGTACTTGTACTTGTACGTGTACTTGTACTTGTACTTGTACGTGTGTATATATTTGTATGTATTTGGCAGTAGGGGGCGGGGCTTACCATGATTGGCGGCTGGCTCTGCAGTCTGGAGGTGTGGCAGCGCGTGCTCGGTCTCTCCCCTCGGGTCCACCTCTGGCTCACCAGCTCGCCCCGGAACTCATTCTCTACAAACGCACAAACACACACAAACACACACACGTGAATGACCGGAGCTATTATACAAATACACACAAAAACACACACAAACACACACAAACACACAAACACACACAAACACACACACGTGAATGACCGGAGCTATTATACAAATACACACAAAAACACACACAAACACACACAAACACACAAACACACACAAACACACACACGTGAATGACCGGAACTATTATACAAATACACACAAAAACACACACAAACACACACAAACACACAAACACACACACGTGAATGACCGGAGCTATTATACAAATACACACAAAAACACACACAAACATACACAAACACACAAACACACACAAACACACACACGTGAATGACCAGAGCTATTATACAAATACACACAAAAACACACACAAAACACACACAACACACACAAACACACACAAACACACACACGTGAATGACCGGAACTATTATACAAATACACACAAAAACACACACAAACACACAAACACACACAAACACACACACGTGAATGACCGGAGCTATTATACAAATACACACAAAAACACACACAAACATACACAAACACACAGAATCACACATAATTACACACACCATCACACACATAATCACACACACAATAACACACAATCACACATAATCACACACAATCACACACAAACACACACAATCAAACACACAAACACACACAATCAAACACACAAACACACACAAACACACATAATCACACACAATCACACACACAATCACACACAATCACACACAAACACACACAATCAAACACACAAACACACACAAACACACAATCACACACACAATCACACACAATCACACACAAACACACACAATCAAACACACAAACACAAACACAAAATCACACACAATCACACATAATCACACACAAACACACACACACACGAGTGACCAGAGCAATTACACAAACACACACACACACACACACACACACACACACATATACATGACAAAAAGAAAAGTGACACACTTGTATATCACACCTTAAACTTCAGCACCAAAACAAAACAACAATTAAAATAAATTGTGTAAGATTTTGATTTTAAATTGTGTAAACATGAGCAAAGAGCAGTGACACTTTTGTCTCTTCGGGACTCAGATGTGCTGACCCTCTCTGACCAGTACTCCTGTTCAACTGACCTCACACCTTTAACTGACGCACAAAGGACACACAACAACACACAATCTGCCTCTCGCTCTCCAGTCATTGTCGTCGGATCGAAACATAATTCCGATTCCTTTGTATGTCAAGTAAATGTGAAGAAACTGACAATAAATCAAACTTCTTCTAACTTCCAAGTGTGTCCCAAACATGTTCAAATTAAATACAGCTTTTACTGGTAATAATTGTAACAATGATTTATTCTTAATTACAAAAACATTGGATATGATGTCACATTTATTCATGTATTTTATAAACCAATCAGAAAGCACAATCAGGATCACATGACTCTCTCATTTGAGCTGTCACTTCCAATGTTCAGATCTAAGGCTACATTCAGACTGCAGGGCTTAACGCTCAATTCCCATTTAAATTTTTTTTGTGAAATCCGATGTTTTTGTGAGGTCGTTCACATTTCCAATTAAATGGGACTTGTATGTGATCTCCAGTGTGAACATTAAACGGCCCAAAAGTGTCCCGCATGTGACACTGGAGACACGACGACGTCAACCACAGCGAGCGTCTCTGTGTTTACAGAAGTTGTCCAAACATGGACGCAGCATTGAGCACCTGGAGATTTTAAAGTTCCTCTCGTACCGGAGCCAGAACATGAACAACTTACTTGTTTTAAGGGGGAGATTGAGAAGGAGAAGAACGAGGTTTTTGGCCGTGGTGTTTTGTGGGACAGACTGTTAAAGGAACATGTGGATGTGGAGACGGAGCCAAGAGCGGTGAGTGTTGATGTGCTTCGCTTCAGTGACACGGAGTTCATGAACAATTTTCGTATGACGAGAAGAACGTTTGTGAACATTTGTGTGTTGTTGATAACTTGCAGGTGGATGAATGCACTTTGGCCGTTCAGACTGAAGTCGCATGTCAAAAGATCAGATATGTATCAGTTTCAGGAGCACATATCCAAGTGTCCTGGGTCACATTTTGAAAAAAAAAAAAAAAGTATCCTGGTTATGATCTGTTCATTAAAAGATCTAATACAGGAACATAGGGACCAAAAAATTGGATTTGGATCACTTCAGGCTGCAGTCTGAACGTAGCCTAAGTCTAAACCAGGACTTAACCAGGAGAAAACCAAGACAAAACCAGAACTAAACCAAGACTAAACCAGGACTAAACCAGGACTAAACCAGGACTAAACCAGGACAAAACCAGGACTAAACCAGGACTAAACCAGGACTAAACCAGGACAAAACCAGGACTAATCCAAGACAAAACCAGGATTAAACCAAGACAAAATCAGGACAAAGCCAGGACTAAACCAGGTCCAAAAAATCTGATTTAGATCACTTCAGGATGCAATCTGAGCGTAGCCTACATCTAAACCAGGACTACACCAGGACTACACCAGGACTACACCAGTTCTAAACCAGGACCCCCCTCTCTCTTTCTCTCTTCATTAACATTCTTGTCTGGGATGGCGCTCAGAACAGCTGAGGCCTGCCATTCTGCTTTTAAGATCAATCAAATCAGTGCATTTTGATCAACCTTTGGAGCGAGGGCTGGGGGATGGGAGGAGAGGAAAAAGAAAAGGGAGGAGGAGGAGGTGAAGAATGGTCAGTAAACGATGACTCCCACATCGAGCGTGTGTGGGTGCAGATTCAGTGTTTGACGGTGTGCTCTGGTTGGGGCTCGTGTTGGGTTCCCGGTGTGAGGTTCACTCAGAGTTCGTGTTGGGAGAGTTTGCCTCTGGCTGCACTTTCACATGCACAAAACTCACTTTAACATTTGTGGAATCATCTGCGTCCCCTGAGTCTGAGTTTCAGGTTCTACAAAAGAGGAACATGACTAAGCAAAAACACAGACGAAACCAGGACTAAACCAGGACTAAACCAGGTCTAAACCAGGTCTAAACCAGGACTAAACCAGGTCTAAACCAGGTCTAAACCAGGTCTAAAGCAGGACTGATACAAGACTAAACCAGGATTAAACCAGAACTAAACCAGGTCTAGACCAGGTCTAAAGCAGGACTGATGCAAGACTAAACCAGGACTAAACTAGGGCTAAATCAGGACTCAAAACATCCAATTAATTTGTCAGGACTTAACAAGTTCCATACAAGTTTCATGTCAGGCCTAAACCAGGTCTAAACCAAGAGTAAGTCAAGGTCGGAAATAACAAAGTAATTGAATAGTTAGGACTTAACCAGAACAGAACCAGGTCCAAATGAGGTCCAAATGAGGCCTACACTAGGTCTAAACCAGGTCTATAGCAGAGCATTTTCACATCATCTTGTCCGTGAGTCTTTGACGTTTTCAGACCTGAGTCTCTTGGACGATGTGTACATTTCTAAAAGCAAAAGCAACGAATGAAAAACTGAAAAATCACCTTGAATTTTGCAGAAATTCATTTCATAAAACTGTTCTGTTCTTAAGACATAGAAATGAGCGCGAGGCTGGGGTCACGCTCTCACACCGGCTGCTATTCAAAGCACACCGCAAGAAAACCAAATGAAAATTATTCAAACGCTACGAAAATATGATAATTAGTCCATCTGAATGACTTGTGGATCTAAAGTGAATGTGAATGCATGTTTTTGTGGCATATCCCTGGCCTCTGCTGCACCATGAGCGAGCAGTGTGTGTGTGTGTGTGTGTGTGTGTGTGTGCGCGCTCGTCGTTTACAGAGACGTTAACACCGGTCACATGTGTGTGTTTCACAGATCCAGGATTAGAATGTGAAGGAAGTGAAGACAGCATTGTCCGCCGCGTGAACCCAAAAGAGATGCACTGGAAAAACAAGACTGCACTGGTAAAAAACAAAAAAACGGAGCTCCTGCTGTTTCCGGATTCTACAACGCAATGAACGTGACATTCCCACATGGATCACACACACTTCTACTGATGTTGAACCTGATCATTTCTGTTAGTGACTAGTGCCAAAAGTGAGTTTACATGTGCACGAGTATCCTGGTTCTGAGTCTTATCCCGGTTCTGAGTCTGGTTGTATCTTATTCCGGTTCTGAATCTTGTCCTGGTTCTGAGTCTGGTTGAGTTTTATCCCGGTTCTAAGTCTTGTCCCAGTTCTGAGTCTTGTCCCGGTTCTGAGTCTTGTCCTGGTTCTGAGTCTTGTCCCGTTTGAGTCTTGTCCCGGTTCTGAGTCTTGTCCCGGTTCTGGCAGGATTGTGGATGTGGTGTTTCCAGGCGCTCGGAGAAACCAGGACACTCACATCTCTGTGTACATGAGATTAGAGGATCCTGGATATTTTGGATAGAACACAGAGCTTCCACACATGAATCATTGTGTCCTTGGGCAAGACACTTAACCCACCCACTCATACGCCAGTGTGTGTGAGAGTGTGTAAGAGTGTGTATGTGAATGTCTGTGTGTGTGTGTCTGTGAGTGTGCGTGTGTGGTTTCTTGTTGTAAAGCGCTTTGAGCCTTGAAGTTGGAAAAGCATTGTATTTTAAAGAAAAAACTGCCTCACTCTGTCTCACTCTTGATTTTTCATTTATTGGTGCGACGTTTCGGTCCTTCAGACTTTCTTCAGGTGAGTCTGAGGTCAGAGTGAGACAGTGTGTGGGAGTTTTTTTTTTTTTTTTTTTTTTAAACAGCTCTGTGCCTCTTCTCTGATGCACCTGTGGCCCCGTCAGGTGTGCAGAGTCTACACAGAAACAAGAAAAGTACTGTATGAAAATGTGACCAATTAGCAACTCTGTTAACTTAAGACTTTTTAACGGGTTTCTAAAAATAAAAAAAGAGGAACATGAGACTGTGGAACACTGCCACAACTTCAGCAAAAGTCATTTTTAACAGTTGAAAAATCTCACAGCATCAGATTGGTTCAAGAGCGACACAAACAGACACAGAGGGGAGGCTGGTGTTAAACACTGTCTCTATCAAACAGTAGACTGCTTTATTTTGTTTAGTTTGAGTCATTTTGGGAAAGTAACTGCTCCTACTGTATCTGTAGCCAGGCTGGCGTCACCTAGTGCCTCCACTCAATTTCATTTCTCTCCAGTGACTCGGTCAGGAATCAGAATACACTAGACGGATTGCAAGAACTCTGGAAGTTGCACCGACCAATCAACTATGAGCTGCGGAGCCATGACATCAAACTCAAGTGTCTGTCTGTGTCCCTTTTGTGGAACAGCCCAACAGTAAACAAAACGTCGAGATGGATGTAGACGAAGACAGACATTCTGTGTTGGCAACGATTCCCCAGATCAAGGATTTAAAGTCGGAACAAAGAGAATGTTTGGTGAATTTTATCAAGGGGAAATGTCATGGCTGGTGCTCCCCTCCCTGTGTGTGTGTGTGTGTGTGTGTGTGTTTGGGCGGAGTCTCCTGGTCCTGATTCATCGCACCTGCAAGCAATCAAGAGCCACTACTTGACACCTGCTCACCTGTGAGACTCTGCCAGATTGTTCCTACCTGCACACGGTGAACCTCTTGGCTCCTAGATTCTACGTTTTTGCTGCTTGCCTTTTGCCAAACATTTTTCTTACTTGCGTTCTCTGCCCTCCAGTGATCCCTGCCATCTCCAGCCCTGCTCCAGCCCTGCTCCAGCCCTGCTCCAGCCCTGCTCCAGCCCTGCTCCAGCCCTGCTCCAGCCCTGCTCCAGCCCTGCTCCAGCCCTGCTCCAGCTCCGCTCCTGTCCTGCTCCAAGCCCTGCTTCTGCCCTGCTCCAAGCCCTGCTTCTGCCCTGCTCCAAGCCCTGCTTCTGCCCTGCTCCAAGCCCTGCTTCTGCCCTGCTCCAAGCCCTGCTTCTGCCCTCATTTTGCCCTTTGTAAAATAAATTCTCCTTTTCCATTTTTTAACCGGTCTGAAGTCCATTTTTGGGTCCCTCCATTGTTGCGCCATAACAGAACAATCTGGCCAAATGGACCCATCGGATCAGGATCGCGACCCAGTGCTACAGGCTCTGGCCACTCAGGGGGTCAGAGTGGGCCATCACGAGCAGATTTTGAAGCAAGTGACTGAAAGACTCTGTGAGTTATCTGTTAATGTAACTCAGCTTTCTGCTCAGATGAATCAGCTCGCTCAGCTTTCGACTATGTTGCACTTGCCACCTGCGGGTCAACCTCAAGCAGCTGACCAGCCTCCAGTCCAACCTCCCACCTCTGCCGCTCGTGAGCCACACATTCCCACTCCAGAGCGCTACTCCGGTGATCTTGGGTCCTGTGGCCAATTCCTCCTCCAGTGCTCCCTGGTGTTCGACCAGCAACCCAACACCTATCATACAGATAAGTCTCGCATTTCATTTTTAATAAGTCTACTCACTGGTAGAGCTGCACAATGGGCCACAGCTGTTTGGGAATCTGACTCCACCCTATGTCAATCTTGCGTTAACTTCACTTCAGAGATGAGGAAGATTTTTGACCACCCTCTTAAAGGGAAGGAAGCAGCTAAACGTCTGCTCTCACTCAGTCAAGGCTCATCATCCGTTGCTCAATATGCCATAGATTTTCGCATTCTTGCTGTTGAGAGTGGTTGGGATGACACCGCCTTACAAGGTGTTTTTATGAGGGGGTTGAGTGAGAGGGTTAAGGACGAACTGGCTGCATGTGATGAAACCAACTCGCTTGAAGAACTTATTTCCCTGGCCACCCGTCTTGACAATAGACTGAGAGACAAAGAGAGAAAGCACGACAGTCCTCAAATCGTACACTCACCCTGCCTCAGTTGGCTTCTCCTTTCTCCAATGCTCAAATTATTAATCCCCCTGTGCCTTCCAGTGCCCCCGAGTCCTCTACTGGAGAGGAGCCTATGCAGCTGGGTCGGGCTCGGTTAACTCCTGCAGAACGCCAGCGCCGCCAGCGGTCAGGACTGTGCATTTACTGCGGACAAGCTGGACACTACATCAACTCCTGCCCCCAGCGACCAAAAGAGATGGCTCACCAGTAATTGGAGAGGTTCTGGTGAGCCAAACTACTTCTATCCCGGTTTCCTCTCCACATAGACTGCAGCTCCCATCTACTCTGTGCTGGTCGCGAGAATCTATCCCCCTCCTTGCACTAGTTGACTCTGGAGCAGATGACAATTTCATTGATTCAAACTTTGTATCTCAAGCCAATATCCCTTTGGATCCCTTAAAACCCCCCAGGGACGTAAATGCTCTGAACGGAGAGAGGCTGGCAAGGATCACACATGTAACTGTTAATCTTACACTGGTGTTGTCTGGTAATCACAGGGAGGACCTTCAGTTTTTAGTTATTTCTTCTCCTCATGCCCCTATAGTTTTGGGACTCCCATGGCTGAAATTACACAATCCTCATATTGACTGGGCGAAGAATAACATTGCCAGCTGGAGCACTTTTTGTCATTATAACTGTCTCCAATCCGCTATCACCCCCAGCGGACTAGTCTCTTCTCCTCCTCCCAGTCCTCCTGATCTGTCTGCTGTGCCCCCCGAATATCACGATCTGGGTGAAGTGTTCAACAAACTGAAAGCGCTTTCCCTACCTCCACACCGTCCCTATGATTGTGCTATTGATCTGCTTCCTGGTGCTCCTTTACCATCTAGTCGCTTGTATAAACTTTCAGGTCCTGAGAGCGAGGCTATGGAGGTTTACATCAAGGATTCTTTAGCTGCTGGCCTAATTCGTCCCTCTTCATCACCTGTTGGCGCAGGATTTTTCTTCGTGGGGAAAGGACAAAAACGTTAAGGCCTTGTATTGACTATAGGGGTTAAATGACATTACTGTTAAAAATAAGTACCCCCTACCACTCATTGACTCAGCCTTTGAACCCCTTCATCAAGCTACCATTTTTACTAAGCTGGATTTAAGAAATGCTTATCACCTTGTACGCATTAGACAAGGTGATGAGTGGAAGACCGCATTTAACACCCCGCTCGGACATTTTGAGTACTTGGTGATGCCATTTGGTCTTACAAACGCACCAGCAGTTTTCCAAACTCTGGTCAACGATGTTCTTCGGGATATGCTGAATAAGTTTGTTTTTGTCTATTTGGATGACATTCTCATTTTTTCCAGGGATCTTAAGGAACATGTCCAGCATGTCAGACTCGTCCTGCAGCGCCTCCTAGAGAACAAGCTCTTTGTGAAAGCGGAGAAGTGTGAGTTTCATGCAACATCTGTTAATTTTCTGGGCTTTGTCATTCAACAGGGGCAGATCAAGGCAGATCCTGAAAAGGTGAAAGCCGTGGCAGAGTGGCCCAGACCCGAAACCAGAAAACAACTTCAGCGTTTTCTAGGGTTTGCAAACTTCTATAGGAGATTTATCAAGGACTACAGCAGAAAGGCAGCCCCACTGACTCGTCTCACCTCTACCCTCACCCCCTTTAAGTGGTCCAGTGAGGCCGAAGATGCTTTTGCTACTCTTAAATCTTTGTTCACCTCTGCTCCTGTCCTAACTCATCCCGATCCCTCCAGGCAATTTATCGTTGAGGTTGATGCCTCAGACTCCGGGGTGGGAGCAGTCCTTTCCCAGCGTTCCACTGGAGATCAAAGGATTCATCCTTGTGCCTTCTTCTCTCACCGTCTGTCACCTGCTGAGGTTAATTATGACATTGGTAACGGAGAACTTTTGGCTGTAGTTCTGGCCTTGCAGGAGTGGAGGCACTGGCTGGAGGGTGCAGAACATCCTTTCATTGTTTGGACAGACCACAAAAATCTGTCATATCTCCGTTCTGCCAAGAGGCTCAACTCCCGACAGGCTAGATGGGCTCTGTTCCTGGGAAGGTTCAACTTTGTCCTAACCTACCGTCCTGGTTCTCGGAATATAAAGCCAGACTCCTTATCTCGTCAGTTCTCTCCTGATGTCTCTGAGTCTCTGCCTGAACCCATCCTGCCTGCCACATGTGTGATTGACAGTCCAGCTAATTCATCCGAGGTTGCTCCATCCACTTCCCTGGTTGCATCTATTCATTGGGAGATTGAAAGAGTGGTTCGTGAGGCTCAGCAAAACCAACCTGCCCCAGATAACTGTCCGCCTAACTCACTTTTTGTGCCGGAGTCGGTGCGAGCTCAGGTTCTCCAGTGGGGGCATAGTTCTAAACTTACGTGTCACCCTGGTTTCCACCGGACCTTAGCTTTTCTTAAACACAGAGATTCTGGTGGCCGTCTATGAGCAAGGACACTCGATCTTTTATTGCTGCCTGTACTACCTGTGCCCGAAGCAAGTCTAATCATCAGGTTCCCTCTGGTCTCCTCAACCCCTTGCCTATTCCCAGCCGACCATGGTCCCATATAGCCATAGATTTTGTCACTGGACTCCCAGACTCTGATGGTAATAGTTATTCTCACAATCGTGGACCACTTCTCTAAGGCAGTGCATTTTATTTCCCTCCCCAAATTGCCAACTTCTACTGAAACTGCTAACCTTTTGGTTCTTCATGTATACAGGCTCCACGGCATACCTACCGATATTGTCTCAGACAGAGGGCCACAATTTACGTCACAGGTATGGAGGGCATTTTGCCAGGCCTTGGGAACCTCCATCAGTCTTTCATCAGGGTACCACCCTCAATCTAATGGTCAGACAGAACGGACCAATCAGGACCTTGAGACATCCCTGCGCTGCGTCACCGCCCGTAACCCAGCCACATGGAGCACATATTTGCCCTGGATCGAATATGCCCACAACTCCCTTGTATCCTCTGCCACAGGTATGACTCCATTCATGGTGTCCTTGGGTTTCCAACCTCCTCTCTTCCCAGATCAAGAGGAGGATGTGGCGGTTCCATCAGTCCAGGCTCATGTAAGACGCTGTCGCCATGTTTGGAGGGCTGCTCGAGCTGCTCTGCAGCGTACGGCAACTCGCAATCAGCGATTCGCCGATAGACATCGGAAGCAGTCTCCTCCCTACCAGCCTGGACAAAAGGTTTGGCTGTCAACCCGTGACCTTCCTCTGCAAGTGGAGTCTAAGAAACTAGCACCTAAGTTCATTGGCCCATATGTCATTGAGAGTGTGATAAATCCTGCTGTTGTGCGTCTTAAGTTGCCCTCCTCCCTGAATATTCATCCTTCATTTCACGTGTCTCTCCTCAAGCCAGTGTCATCCTGTCCTCTCAGCCCTCCAGCCGATCCCCCTCCTCCCACCCGAGTCGTCGATGGTTACCCGGCCTTTACTGTGAGTCGGATTCTTGATGTTCAGCGCCGTGGGAGGGGTTTTCAGTATCTGGTCGACTGGGAGGGATACGGCCCAGAGGAGCGCTCCTGGATTCCCCGCTGCAATATCCTGGATAAGTCCCTCCTCCGGGACTTCTACAGGGCTTTCCCAGACAAGCCTGGTGAGACGTCTGGAGACGTCCGTTAGGGGGGGGGTACTGTCATGGCTGGTGCTCCCCTCCCTGTGTGTGTGTGTGTGTGTTTGGGCGGAGTCTCCTGGTCCTGATTCATCGCACCTGCAAGCAATCAAGAGCCACTACTTGACACCTGCTCACCTGTGAGACTCTGCCAGATTGTTCCTACCTGCACACGGTGAACCTCTTGGCTCCTAGATTCTACGTTTTTGCTGCTTGCCTTTTGCCAAACATTTTTCTTACTTGCGTTCTCTGCCCTCCAGTGATTCCAGCCCTGCTTCTGCCCTGCTCCAAGCCCTGCTTCTGCCTGCTTCTGCCCTGCTCCAAGCCTGCTTCTGCCCTC